CAATTGTCAAAATTTTGGTGTCGATCATTCGATTTCATCCTGGACACTACAGAAAATGGGCTTAAAGTGTAAAAAACCGAACTTCTCCTTTAATAAAGACGCTGAAGCAAAAGTGTCCTGAGGGGGGCAGCAATGCGCCAGGAGGCACCCGGTCTGCAGCAGTCCCTTGTTGTGAATTGGCACCACAGAAATAAACTGAACTGAATTGGATCAATGAGGACAAAAAGAAAGCCTCACCTTGCAGGACAGAGCATCAAAGATCCCCCAGAACAGTTTCCTTGAGAGGTGAAGCTCTTCCTCTGAAGCGGCTCCAAAGCTGCCCCAGCCTCCCGACAGGCAGTAGTACTTCCAGCAGCGCTCGTAGTGATTGGTCAGCAGCTGGAAACAGCAATGAGCATCAGGAGCAAACAGCACACTTCCACTTTCTCCATTTTTATTGCCTCCCTGAAATCTGTCCTGAAATTAACCTGCAAATGTCGGCTGATGACATCATCCACATGTTGGATAAAAACAGTGAAAAGGGGAATAACATCAGGGTGGCTAAAGCCTGACTGCTGCTTCTCTCTAAATACTAAGAAACTGACGCTCCCACACATTCCTCGGCTACTGAACAAGGCTCACAGGAAAAAGTAGAAATTATTCTGGATTCTGGATCAAATTTGTATCAAAATTTCTCTTTTAATCAGCCTGTAAAAGCACAGCTACAGATGTACAGACATGGTGCTGTTCTCCTAACCTTCAAAGGCATCTTGGTGTGCTCGTTTAGCAGAGGAACGTCGAACACCAGCCTCCTCAGCAGGTGCTGCATCATGGAAGGCCTCAGCTTACTGCATCATGTCAAGGAAACACATGAAGAGGTCATTTACACCCAGCAGATTTAAGGCGTTTAGTGTAATTCTGACACATCCACCATGTTAGGTAATCATCTGATAGGCGTGGGGTTTGTCCGTACCCACAAACAGCCAGCAGACACTCCTCTATAGCGTCCCTCTGAGCTTTGGTCAGGCAGCAGCCTTTGGACAGGCGGTAAACCGTATGAAGAAGGGAGTCGATCAATGAGGCAAACGGCTCGGTCCCTGCGAGCAGCGGGGCGCATTTGGTCAGCAGGGGCAGCACCGCCGTACACAGGTACCGGTTCAGGGCCAGAGCCATGTCAGTGGCGCTGAGGGCAGCCTGCCAGAAACCACAGACAAAACCTGTTGGTTGTTTTTAGGCCATTAAACCTCCACAGAACATTAGCAGCAGTACAGAATGAATAAATTCTCAAGGTCCAAAATATCTCAGTATTAGCGCTGTGACTTTAACATCTTATTTCTGACTAATTATACGAGTTAAAATTTGTTTTTAAAAAAAATCAACACAATTAAAGGTATTATGGCGGATTTTCGTGATTTTTTAAAAAGACCTGCCCTCTCCGCTTTAAACAAAATGCGCGTGCAAGAGCGTGCACGAGCCCATTTTTCCTCATGCACGCTCTGTTTAAAAGTTGCAGTTCTCATAGCTCATACCAGCTTCCTGTGTCTGACCGTCCGCTCTAACCTCTAAATCCCTCCATCACTATATAGATTGGGGACTATATAGTGAACTTTATAGTGGTGCCTGCGCCATCTTTGTTATTAGTCGCCACTGTCGGGTAGCGACAGCCTAAGGACTCTATACTTTTCCCTGTCAGATTAACAGGTTTTATTTTGTATTTTTCCCCAAAGCAGATGTGTTTTACTTTGTAACCACGTCTCTCTTCCTGTCGGAGGCATGAAATTACTGCTGAGTTGCTGCATGGTTCTGACTAAAATAGATCTGGGCTCCATCTCAGTCGGAGCTACGCTGCCCCCTGCAGGATTTCATCCCCACTGAATTTCAATCTGCGCTAAATACCACGACCTCTAAGGCCCGATTTTCTGTCGGAACTAAGACCAAATCGGATCTGGTGCATTCAGGGCTTTAGGAGACCATATGACAGTAGGGCTGAATGATTTTGCCAAAAAATCTAAATTGCGATTATTTTCAAGCAATATTACAATTGCGATTTTAATGCGATAATCCTTTGCGCTAAGCACAAGCATGTTGATGTTTTACTCCAGAGTTTCAGTTTTTTCATGACCTTGAAACCCTGCTTTTCCAGAGTCCAGTGTTGCAGGACAAAATAGCTCTTACTTCTACTACAATGCAATCGTATTACTGCCACCTAAAGGTCTGGAGGCTTCAGTGTCTTCCTCTTGTTAAATGTATAATGACTTAAGTTTAGAGCCTCTATGCTTTGAAAATAATTTTTTTCTAAATTGTAAATGCAAATAATTGCACAGCTCTATATGATAGCGTCTTAAATGCATACTTACGGTGTCAAGAGAGGCAGCGGCTCGGAGATCCGGGAGGAAACCAACCTCTAGGAGGTGGAGGAGAAAATTCTGGTCTTCTACTCCATAGACTCGGTCCAGGAACAAAACCATGGCTGCTTTGTGGTCTGGACAGAAGCCTGCTGACATGTCCGGCTCCAACACTGTCCCATCTATGAGTGGACAGGAACAGGGAGTGTCACCTTTAAAAACACTGACTTCAAACAGACGATCTGGGTCTAAACCAAGGGTGGGCAATTCCAGTTCCTGGGGGCCGGTATCCTTCAATTTTTAGATGTGCCTTTGGTTCAACACACCCGAATCAAGTAATTAGTTGATTGAGAGGACTTGTTAGAAACTGACTGAATACTGAGGAGGTAACTCAGCCATTTGCTTCAGGTGTGTTTGATAAAGGAAGGATGTAAAACCTTCAGGATACCGGCCCTCAGGAACTGGAATTGCCCACCCCTGATCTAAACGATCACAGGTATCAAGCAGCATTTGCTCCTGTTCATCTACAGTCAATCAGTTACCTTTAGCCAGGCTGGGCATGGAGAAGGGAATACTGATGACTCCCACCAGGTCTTCAATAGGAATGAGGGACCTCAGAATGGCTCTTATACGGATGGCTTCCCCTTTGCCAGCATGGATCAGCTGATAAAAAACAGACATTCAGAAAATCCTCTCTGATTATGTGCATCCATAAAATCGGACATCTTCTTCAGGTCACTCACATGCATCTCCGGCGCGCAGCGGCCCAGCAGGTCAATAAGTGCAGAGTAGAAGGTCATGATGGCGTTCCCCATATGGATGGTATCATCTTCCTCTTCATCCAACATGTCACTGCTGCACATAGTGGTTGGAGAGAGATTTTCCCTTAAAGTGTGTGCATATACATGGTGGAAATGGCAGAAATCAGTTTTACTGCCCTCACCAACCAGCTGTTCCTGCCTGCTTGCTTATTGATAAGCTAACGGTTTTGTTTACGATGCATTGTTGGTTTTTGAGCCAATGTTCTCCTCTGCATTGCTTTATATAAAGCCTCTTCTCATCCCCACATACATTCTCTTTGACCATGGAAGCTCAGGGGCAGCCACAGGGGGAGGATCATCTGCAAGCTGAGGAATCACTGTTCAGGTTGTTCAAAAGCTAAGTGTGCCTGCTAGCTGATCCCTAAATAACAAACCCTGGCTCTGATTCTCTATGAGGCTGCAGGAGCAAGGGTGTAACTTTGTAGTGAAAGTTGGTGGGGGCGCTCTAAGGGTGGGGGCGCTCTAAGGGTGGGGGCTGATGGACCTACA